TTTGTCTTGTAAAGAAAAAGAAAACAAAAGAAAACTTGATCTGGTTAGACCGGTTCGAGCATTAGAGAACTAGGTCTAGGTCTAGATCCAACATCGGTTTGAAAGGACTATCGTGTTTTTGAAAGGACTATCGTGTTTTTGAAAGGGCTATCGCGTTCGGGAATTTCGAATGTGAAGCTGTATTGATTCAAGAGTTTGACAAATGGATGTTCAGGAAAATTTTGCGCATAGTGTTCTTAGTTTAGACCATTGGAATATTATAAAGTTTAGTAAATCTTATCTTTTATAATACAGACGTTACTTCAAAAAAGAAGATGATTACGTCCTACGCGTCATGCATCTAATCATGCATGTTAACCAATGACTTAAATTTTACCAAGTCACTGGTTTTCCTGGCTGACTCAGGCTACCCATTCCATGCTCTAAAAAGCACTAGGGAAGAAGGAGTATTTGTACAAATTTGTCCTAGCATATGGGATGAGGGATGTGCCTTTATCTTTGTGTCTTTCTGAGTATTTTATTAAATTTTGTTTTTGTATTTGAAGATTATGGTTCAGTGTTTTATGTATAATTGCTACTTTACTTTTGAGTCTTCTGTCCTGAAGGCTTTCTAAATTTAGTGATTTTTACTATAGGTGTTACTCTAGTCCAATGTGAATATTCGTTTGTTATGAATCTCACTGCTCTATTTTGTGTCTGTTCCAGTTTCTTAATGTTTTCTTGAGTTGAGAGATCATTCGCTTACCCAGGATTCTTTCTCGGGGAGGAGGAAAGGTGAGGGAGCGGGGTTAAAAGGTTCCATTGTTTTTAATCTAGCATTCATTAGTTATTGAGAGAAAAAGAATCGCTCTAGAATTTGTTTAAAGGAGGAATGGTCTTTTAAAACTATACTTCCAATGTTTCTTTTGTTGTTATTGAAGAAACGTCTTTAACTGATAAAATAAGACAAGATCTTAGATTTTGTTTGGTTTACACACATAAATAAATACATAAAAATACATGACTTGATTTTTTAAAAATTCTACTTGGCCAGAAAAGATATGAAGACCTGGCCAGACTTTATTTGAACACTATTGTAATACTATTTTTTTTTTTATTATTATTGTAAGTGAAGATGAGGCTCGCTTACTTTCTGCTAGTGACTGGCCTTGTTTTATCTGTGATCGAACCAAGTCTTGCATCGGACAAACAGAACAAAGAAAAAAACAAGAACGACAACAAAGATAAACATGGTAAGACTTTGTCCAATTTACAGAAACTAGATTTTAACAAGTCTTTATAGGGGACCTCATTGGGGAAAAGCCGCTATTGTTCTTATTCTGTCTGTCTGTCACTTTTAGATCTCGAAACACTTAAAGTGCTATTAAAAGAAATAAATTTTCACTATCATGTGTCACCTATCCCTTAGTCTCTTGGACAGGTGGGGCACCATTCAAGATCTGTTGACCATCGTTCTCCATCCCTCTCGTTCTTCTGCCTTTGATCGAATCTCTCTCAACGACAGGCCCGTTCATTCTTTTATTTTGTCTTACCATCGCGTCCTCTTGTCTGTCTCTTCTTCCTGTCTATCGTGTCTCTGTGTATCAGCTCAAAAATAGATGCTTTGTTATGGAGTGTGTGTATGGCCAACGAGCTATAGGTTAGCTATTGGTTGTGAATGATGCAGCATGGGTGGCAGTGTCGTCATTTGGTCTTAGTTAAGACAGGCGACGCTAGAACGTGAGACTGAAAGGTTGTGTTATTGTAGTGTGCTAGATTTTGTTAAAAATATTATTAATAAAGTCTAGTACATTTATAATTTTTTTATAAAAAATTTCTTTGCTTTTAGTTCTTACTTATTGAATGCATTTTGTCCACTCTTTACAGATCGGAACAAAGAAAAAGAGATACAGAAAAATGTGCAAGACAACTTAAAAGATATGAGAAAAGAAATCTCAGCTTTTGTTCGTGATATCAAGGATGAGGTCAAGGACACTCTCAGCTCAGCCATCATTGACAAACTCAAAGAAAAATTGGACAAAATCGAGAAAAAAGATAAAAAAGAGAAAGATGACTCCTCAGAATCCAGCGAATCAAGCAAAGAGATGTCCCCAGACGACATAAAGAGATACAAGAATCTAGAGCAAGCTCTTGCCAGAGAAATTGAGAACTTGGCCAAAGACGTCAAGTCCAAAATTATTGACCTCCTGTTGAAGAAAAAAGAATATATCAAAGCCAGCGTGCAGGAGAAACTGAAGCTCGTCAGCGAGGCGATCGAAAAAATAAAGTCAGGAACTAGGGAAGACGAAGATAATGAAAGCAAGGATCAAGTTAATGAAGACGATCAAGCCAAAAAGGAGAAGCTAATTCTAAAGGTGATATCCACAAAGCTTGATGCCGCGCTAGAGCACGTTTTGTTCAACGAGCTGAATGGAACCTTAGAGCCAACGTCCGATGCTAACGGAGCCGTAGTTCGACTTCTCTTGCACAGACTTCTGAATGATATCCAGCCAGACATCGCAAGGGTGAAAGAGTCTTGGCGAGATTTCGTCAGCGCTGAGTTTGAGATGAAAGTAAAAGCTAAGAAGTTACACGCCAAGGAAGTAGTAGACGGAAAAGTCAGAGATACATTCACCTTTGAGAAGCTCAGATCCTTTAAAGAAAGCTTGAAGGAGATGCTGGATAAGAAGAGGAACTTTGTGGAGCAGAAGATTGAGTTGAAGAACAAAGTTCTCTTCACTCTGCGCAATATGTCACTCGTCCACAGAGCAAGAACTGGACAAGATTTCAGCTACGTTGAGTTTCTAGAGGGCATTCTCAACGGAACCATCAAGATACCACAGGCACTAAAAGATTTGTTTGAAGATGTCAAAACTGCGGTTGAAGATCTGAAGAAAGAAAATGCCAACTCTGAAATCCCGACCCAGTCTTCGGAAGTCGAAGAGTCGACACCAGCGGCGGTTGAGCTGACTACGTCCATTGAGGAAAACGCTGAAGAGTCATCAGTACTGGACATTTTAAACAAAGTCCAAGACTTGGAGACGGACTTAAAAAGTAAAATAACCTCTCTTGAGAATGACGTGAAAGCGAAGGTCTTGGAACAGGTGCAGAATATAAGGGAAGTAATCACGAGCCTGGTTCTAGAAGACAACACAGGTGTAAGTGAAAACCCCAGTCTGTTGTACAACATATCCTCTGACAATCCTTTCCTGAATGACATAATCGAAACAGCCATACGCTCATTGGTAACTGGAAACGCTACTGAAGTAACCCTATCTGGCAACCAAGCTCTTCTGAATCTGTTTATTCAGAACCTGCTGAAAGAGTTTGATGCAAGCATTCAGAGGTTAAAGCAATGGAAGGAAAGGTTCGACCAGATTCGCGGTGTCCTAGTCTCAATTGCGGACAACTTGCAGAATGCTGTGAACGAAGCTGAAGATGTTTCCACTGTCCCCATCGATCTCACGGAATACAAACATCTGCTGCAAGAAATACACAACGTGAAAGCTCTTTATGTTACTCAGAAATATCGAGTCAAGACTCTGGTCCTCGAAGCCTTTGACAAAATGACATCAGTCTACCAGAACAGAACCGGCACTGACCTCAGCTACAACGAGGTCCTCTCGTCGATGACCAACTCGAGCTCCGATCTAACCCCTCTCCTGGATGACTTCTACAGCGACCTCAGTACCGTTGCCAAGTCAGAGGGTCTTAAATTTGACGCAGTAGACCCTAATTCCTCTGACAGTCTCGGTGGCGAAGGCTCCTCTAGCTCTGTCGTGGGAGTTGCTGTAGTTAGTACTATAGTCGTCGTTCTTGCTGCATTCGGCATCGGCTTCTTCGTATTTCGACGTCACAGGAAACAAAGTCTGTACACCAAGATATAAATCCATCACTCAACTTGTAGTTGGCAACATTATTCAAACTTTGAAACACGTTCGTGCGCCCATAAAGTAGTTTAATGCACTCAAAATGTATTTCCTTTCTTTAGCTTTAGAAGTTTAGAATTGATTGTGAATCTTGACACTAGGAGATGAAAAACCAATGGCGGACTCTCAACTTGTGAATCTGTGCGGTTTTGATGAAAGTTAACACAAAAGATACGGGGGAAAAGTTGAACGCGATGAGGGAATATAAGATATAATCTAGACTAAATGCTCTTTATAAACTAAGCAGGGATACATTATGTATATGTATATACACGCATATCTTATCTATTCAAAACAAAAAGAAGATAATTACGTCCAACGTCTATACATGTGTCAATCTAGTCGTGCTAGTTAATGAGATACTGAAACTCTAGTTATTATTATATTTGCTGATTCAGGCAACCCTTTCTCTGTTGGTATAATGCTTAGAAATAAAAAACAACAACTCTTATGTGGATACTTTCAAGGATAAGGGATATGAAATGTGCCTTTATCTTTGTGCCTTGTTGGTTATTTGATTTAATTTGGCTTTTTGTAGTTGCAAGTTCGGGTTCAGGGTTTCATTACGTAGAACTATATCTACTGTAAAATAGAGAAAAATAAAATGTAAAATAGAGAAAAATAAAATGTAAAATAGAGAAAAATAAAATGTAAAATAGAGAAAAATAAAATGTAAAATAGAGAAAAATGTCAACAAATTTTTGTTGTTGGTTTTAATGGTTTTGATTTGAAACTAGACAATAATGGAATGGAAATGAATTAAAAAGCCAAGAAAGAGAAGCTTCGTTTTTTTTCCCTCAGATAATTAGAAAATAAGATAATTTAAGGTCTAAGTCACTATTCTAAAATTTAAATTGGACTTTTGGTCAAATGGCGAATTCACAGAATCCCTACGACCGTTATTTTTACATATTATTTTCTTCCATTGCAATAAGATAAGCAGAAGGAATGAGCCAAAAAAAAAAAGGTTCTCTCGTTGGCTTGTCTATATAGTTCTGTTTTTGACCAGAACATTTGATATCTACCCTTTTCACATTCTTTCTACTAGCCAAAATATGCTGTGGTTGTCCTCTGTTTCTTTGTTAAAGCAGGTCAACTCCCTCTGTCTGTCTGGTAAAAAGTGTTTACAAGTTATTTCTTCCACATTCATTTTTGGATCAAGCTGAAACTTCGCACAATTATTCATTGACATAGACAAGATATGAATCAATAAAAAAAAAGTAACCAATTAGACTATTAATTACTGGTAATTCATTATTTTGTTTGATATCAACAAGGGAAACTAAAACTTCAGTATTCATAGATATGGTTAAGTTTGTTGGGTTTAGTCCCCTTAAATAATTGTTAACGCTATTTCTCACGCATTCTTCGATCAAGTTGATACTTTAAATAATTATGTATTGTACCTGAAAACATCAATAAATAATGTACTCAATTGGTCAATTAATTATTGGTAATTAATTATTTTGTTTGATATTGAATAAGGGAAACAGCTAGTACATTATTGATAGATAATTTTAAAAGCGGGGTACTTCCCTTTAGATATGCTTTTTTTTAAAATAAAAAATTTATTTTTTCTATTTCACTCGTTTGATGCCACGTTTATAAGCTATATTTCATTATACTTTATTATTTGTTTGCTATTTATAATTACAGTTCTTTATACTTTGAAATATTTCATTTTACATTAATATATTTTATTATTATTTAAATACATCATTATACCTCATTTTTATGATAACAAATATCTCTCCATATATAATTAAATATTTATATTAACCTCTCACATTATGCAAATATGTAAAGTCAATTTTAGTAGTTTAATAGTTATGACTTCTTAACGTTTCGTTAACTTTAAAGCCGCATAACATGTCGTGTGTGTACCTTAGAAGAACAAAAACCAATCAAACGTATTTATAATTCACGTAACTATCGTAGCTGTTGATGATATTAAACGTTTCTATCTTCTGAACACGAAGACTTCCTTTGGATTTGTACTACGTATATATAAGTAAAAGACATACACAGCACTTGAAATCAATCCTGGAATTTGGAATAGAGTGAAAGTGTTATGACACAGTTCTTGGGTTACAACTTTCAGACCAGGAACGAATTAGGGACAGGACAGGCGGGTCTACTTCCCCAGGGACTCCACAAGAAAGGGGCCTCCACAATAGAGATTCTCAAAATGTTGACTGTTCAGCAACTTAAAATTTAAAAAAAACAACAACATTTTTACCGAGACTACTTTAAATCTTACGATTGACTAGAAGTGCCCGCTTCTGGCGTGCTCATTATGTATGTAGTTTAGGATGTACGGCACTGATTCAACTCAGGCCTTCACCTTCCACATACTCAAAAATATAGAAGTAGAAAATAGATTAAATTTACAAAGACTCTATCTCTTTCTTCTAATATATGGCATGATTTTGGATATTGGTTTTATAATTAATAAGTGGATTAAAGCTTTTGAAAAAGTGTAGGGGCCACCACAAAATTTTTTCCCAGGGAATCCACGCACTTAAATCCTACCGGTGTAGTTTCTTAAAGTAAATGTTTAATTATCTTTTTAAACAACAATCAGCCCAAAGTTTTTGAACGCTTACGCAGCGGTTCTCAACCTTTTATGCTCGGCGACCCCTTTTTACAATCCTCCACTCTTCCGCGACCCTCCCCCCCCCCCCCCCCCCCACACATACATCAATAGAAGAATAGACAATAACAATCCTTATTTTCGATGGTCTTAGGCGACCCCTGGTAAATCGTCAATCGACCCCCCTTGGTCGCGACTCACAGGTTGAGAACCCCTGGCTTACAGTTTCAATGAAGATGTAAGCAGAAACACAAGATGTCAAGTTAAATAGTTCCTATTTTCGGTTTGAACAAAAAAAAAACTAAAAAAAAACTTTCATTATGAGTACTTGTATCAATTAGTTTGGATCAGTCATGTGATTAAATTTGTAATAGATCTAGACTAGCAAGAAAAAATAATTTAAATAAATTAAAAAAAAGGAGAGAGACCTAAATTCGAATGCATGGTTAAGGCCAGTGGCATCACTAGGATCGGTATCACCCGGTGCGGTAAATTCGGGGTGTCACCCCCATCACCCGGAAAAAATAATATCTCCCCCCCAAAAAAAAACAACAAAAAATCCAATAACGCTTGTTTATTTCGTTTGTTTGTGTTGAACCCTAAAACTGTCCGAAGCTAATTCATTGATTGGTTGCAACAGAAAAATGGGTTTCGATTCTTTGTTAAAACGTCGTTGTTTTTGACATTTTATCCAATAGTTATGACATCGATTCAAAATGTACAATCATTGTATTGAGAAACATTGAGTTGAACATATTTTTTTAGAGATTATTTAAGAGCTCCTTACGGAAATAGTTTTAAATTTTACTAGTGTTTCTCAGCTGCTTCCGAAAAGGCAAATCAAGCAGTGCACAGGTTTACGTCCTGCGAAACATCGTCGAACAAAGCCTGGAGTACCAACAAAGGATGTTGATCAGCTTTGTAGATTTAAATAAAATTTGATAACGTCCTTTGGAATCACTCTAATAAATAGCAAGAGATTAAGGCATCTCGTAACAATATGTCCAGATTCAGCGATATCTCTAAAGCAAATCCAACTGTTGTGTCACGACAGACGGTACAATTCTTCAACTTCGAGAAGGATATGAAGTTAGGATGTATCTTTTCCCTATCAATCTTTCGTGTAGCCATCGACGATGTCATAAAAACCTATTAACTCTTGCTCTCCGTAATTATTTTCCTCGTTCCGACAGAATTATTCATTTTGCTCATTTGTATTTCAGTATCTTGTTATGATTAAACTTCAATAACTTTTGTGTTTGATATCAGAAAATGTTATAGTTTGTATCGAATTATAGGGAAAATAATTCTCTTTTTACACAACACACGTTTAAGTTTATACATCCAAAGAATCAATTTAGTTTAAATCAACGTTGGCATCGTTAATTAGGAGAGAAAGAGTTTAACAGGCTGTATTTGGGTTCCCGTGGCGTAAACCAAACCAAGTTGGATTTTGCAGACGACATAGCATTACTTCGAAAATGAATACACGAGATGAAGGATAAGGACCCCCTCAAAGTTATGCATATTAGATGCAGGTTACCCAGTAGCCCCATCAACATTGGTCATACAGATCTTAAACAAATGGAAAAGTTCACCTATTTAGGCTGCAGTGTTATCTCATGCGATGGAATTGCACATCATGGTGTTGCATGTCGGATTGGAAAGCAGGAGCCATCTTTAAAAACGTACGGCCTATCTCAACAAACAAATCAATTGGCCTAGAGATTAAAATCCACCTGCTCAATACGATCAATGTCCCAATGGTCACCTACGCTTCGAGACGTGGAAAGTTGAAAAGAGACTGAGCAGTCTGCAGTGATGGCTTAGAGGAATCCTACGAATATCATGCTGAAATAATGCTACCGATAGAGAAATCTTTTTCCGCACAGGCATTCGTTGTCTAACTAATGGACATTTGTAAGACATGTCATTAGACAAGACGAAACGTTGCATTTTAGAAAAGTGCATTTTTCCCACTTGGGCGTCACCCCGTGGTGGGTCTCACCGTTGTGGCCCGCACCCCCTGGTGACGCCACTGGTCGGGGCTTCTCAAGTCAATATGTGAGCCACTCTACCAGCAGAGAGCCTTTGAAGATGGATTATATATGGATTTCAGTACACTATGACACATTTGAGACCAAGCGAAAATCCGCTGCCGAGGACATAAGGCGCAAAGAAAATCTTAATCGACCACCGGAGCACAATGTTTATGCTTGCCTTGGATGTGACAAAATATGTGGGTCGCAGCTGGGGCTGCGTAGCCACTGGAAATACTGCACTCCTCATTCATCTTCAGACTTGTAGTTATGCTGTATGTGTTTTATTGTGAAATATCGTGAGTTGTTTGTATAAAAAACCATGTAAGTATAGATATTATTGGGGTTAAAAACATATGCATATTGAGTTTATTGGAATTTAAAAAAAACCAACCAATAATTGGGATGGTAGAAAATATAACGCAATTGAAAGTATTGAGAATATAAGTTTATTAGAAAAAAAACAAAACAATAAATATCCAGGAGAGGCAATTTTGAAGTTTATAAATTTCGGACAATATATACTTGATTGTCTCCCTTTTAATAATATTTCTTTTTTTTTTTTTTTTTAAAGAAATGTAACATTCAATTTTGAATCGACAAATGAATAAAGTTTCAATCTATCTATCTATCTATCTATCTATCTATCTATCTATCTATCTATGTTATATTGGCTTCCTTCAGTCGCAGAAAGACTACGGTTAATCTCTAACACTTTTTCATTTGGCTATGGAGGCCTATTTCAGAGAGACACTCCCGACTCCAGTCCACATATATTGCAGGTCAAAGTGACTTTCGCTTTGGTGGTAGAGGAGCTGGCCATTTTCAGTGTGGCACTCTTTTCTTCCTGAGCTAAGGCCTATGTTTTCTCGCTGTCCATAGCTTTCTTGGTCACCGTCTCTCTCCAACTTTAACGGTCTAAAGTCTAAGACTATGTCTTCCAAATAGTCAGTTCACTGATTTTAAATCCCGTTTTATCACATCCACGTTTCGGAGGTGGGGGCGACCAGTTTTTCTTGAGCCAGACACAAGCTCACCGTGCAGAATGATTTTCGGGAAGCGATTATCCATCAGGCGAACATGTCCGAGCCAGCGCAGGCGGCGCTGCCTGAGGACTGTAAAGATGCTGTGAAGGCCCGTTCTCGCGAGGATCTCAGTATTGCAGACTCTTTCTTTCCATGTTATCTTTAAGATCCTTCGAAGGCAGCGCAAGTTTAGTTTTCTCTTGCTTTGTGTAGGAAGTCCACGACTCACTGCCGTACAGTAGCTTGCTAAGAAGTCCACGACTCACTGCCGTACAGTAGCTTGCTAAGAAGTCCACGACTCACTGCCGTACAGTAGCTTGCTAAGGAGTCCACGACTCACTGCCGTACAGTAGCTTGCTAAGAAGTCCACGACTAACTGCCGTACAGTAGCTTGCTAAGAAGTCCACGACTCACTGCCGTACAGTAGCTTGCTAAGAAGTCCACGACTCACTGCCGTACAGTAGCTTGCTAAGAAGTCCACGACTCACTGCCGTACAGTAGCTTGCTAAGGAGTCCACGACTCACTGCCGTACAGTAGCTTGCTAAGAAGTCCACGACTAACTGCCGTACAGTAGCTTGCTAAGAAGTCCACGACTCACTGCCGTACAGTAGCTTGCTAAGAAGTCCACGACTCACTGCCGTACAGTAGCTTGCTAAGAAGTCCACGACTCACTGCCGTACAGTAGCTTGCTAAGAAAGCATATATCTATATATTGAAGAAAATTAGAACGTCTGAACTTATATATCATGGGCGTAGATGGGAAGGGGGGGGGTTTGAAATGAAATCCTCCCCGCGGGGGGGGGGGGGGGGGTGAGTCGGATTTCAGTGACTGATTTTCTACCATGATTTTGTTTATTTTAGGTGAGATTTTAATACTAAACAATCACTTTCCCCAGCGCAGCCAAGGGAGTTTTGAGTTTAAAATCCCCTTGCAGGGGGTTTTACAGTCAAATCCCCTTCTTGTATAAAACAATAAAAAAAATGCAAACGACAATCCCTTAATTTCAAGAGCACAGCTAAGGAAGACTATGATTTTAACCCCCCTCTGAAATTAACGACAAAACCCCCTCTTCAATATATGACTATCCATTCATTCGCCACCATATTCTACAAGCGTAGCCAATAGGGGTTTTGTGTTTAAAACCCCCTTCCAGCGTGGTTTGCAGTTAAAAACCACCTCTTCAATATAAAAAAAATCAAATTAAGCACTCAAAAT